ATTCTATGGAGGTAAGTAGATGTCACACTGGTGAACTGACTAAAAAAACCAAACCATAAACAAATCATTCATAATGGAGAAAATACAGCACACAGATATGCAGTGTAATAACTAGTCATATCGTTAAGTATTCAGGGCCTCAGTTTACTCACTTCTAAAATGTGGCCAATAATTCTTAAACTTAATTGTTTTATCAGATCAAATGAGATCATCAGTTCTTTGTAAATCATATAGTATGATACCATCTAGTGATCAGACTGGAAAGGAGAAGAGGCAGGCCCATCCTTCTGGTACCTATTTGTAAAGTGAACAGTGACTGGCTATGAAATATAAAACTCCAACTCTTATTTATTAGGGCAGGAAGCAGTAGGAAGGAAAATGGTGACCCCTCAACAAAAGGAATGAAATGGACAGAGGGTGGGGTGGGGATCCCCCACCCCCCAACTGATGCCACTCAGCTATAACAGCTAAAGTTAAAAATTAATCTTTAACACTTTTTTAAACAATGATTTTTAAACGCAAAAAATTTCCTTATATAAATTTTTCACTCCCAGAATTTATTTATCAAGTCATCACTGTACAATTCCATTCACGTCAGCTTGACCTTAGGTGAAGCAGTTATTTATTCTTTAAAATATGTAGTATTTACCTCCCAAAAGAAGAAATCATCTATATTTTTTGTTCATGGATCGATCCCCTTTGGCAGTCTGCTGAGGACTATAGACCCCCTTCTTGAAATGTTTTTAAATTCATAAAAATGCATAGAAATACAAAGAAAACCAATTCATTATGTTGAAAGTTATCAATTAAAAAAATTTTTTTTTAACACAAATGTGTATGATCCTTTGTGAAGTTCTACTCTAGAGTGATTACAAAGTGGAGAGGAAAGCCCTGATAAACACATGACCAGCCTCAATAGGAACTTTTCTCCTTCTTCAGTTAGTTTCACAGTAAAAATGGTCATCTTAAAATTTGCAAATACATACTCCATAACTACATTTGCAAGGTTCATTACCGTGCATAAAAGACTTTAAATAACTCATTTGATCCCTACAACAATCTTGTTAAGTACATATAAATTTAAGTACATAAAGTGGTACTGCCTATCCCTATTTTACAGATGAGAAAACTGAGGCTCAGAAAAGACAGCTACTAAGTAAGTATCCGGAGGAAAGACAAATTTTAGTACTTAAAACAACTTCATTGAGGACTTATTTAAAAGGCAGTATTTACATTTCAAACTAAACTGCAACTAACAAGTTTTTACTTAAAAAGATCATCAATCTTTTGAGTCTCTAAATTACAAATCTTAACCATCTGGTTTCAATTTTTGTACCATAAACACATCTATTAAAATCATTTCATAAGGCAATTAAAAATGCAAATCTTCCTTTAGGATGACTACCTGTAAGACTCAGATTGGTGTACAACATTAATTACTGGTTAACTGTTCTCTCCTTTGTGATGGGTACACGAACAAATATTGATGAGAGTTTAGTGATAGCTCCTAAATACAATACCTGAAAGGTACTCAATTTAAAAATTAGCACTTACTCTTTTTATGGTCAAAAGCTACATTTAAGTAGTCTGGGGCCTCAATCTGTAAAATTAATACTTGCACTACCTACCTTACAGGTAGGTGGTGAGAAATTAAAATACTAGGAATAAAAGGTAAAACAAATAGACTAATGTATTTATTTTACACTTTAATTTCTTAGATTTTGATGGTACATTCAAGTGGGGCATTATGTACTGGAAAAAGCACAGAAGACTTTAGGTTAAATACTGCCTCTCTCGCCTTAAGTCACAAAGGTTTCACAGCATTTCAAAAATACTTTTTTTATTGCCTATTTCTTGGACAGTTAGGAACAAAATGTTTTGTCAACTATAAAATGTAATGAAAAATTTATAAATGACATGACTAGGGAACCTAAATTTAATGCTGCTTCAATGGCTTAGCAAAAGCATTAAGGTGGGTATACAGCATTTGTTAATACCTACATCTTCCTCCATTATGCCTAATTTTTGATAGCGAATATACTAAAGGTAATGAATACAAACAAAACTTTAAAAAATACATAATCTTTACTATACCAGCTATCTAGGCTGTCATAATGAACTGCACTGCTAGTTCAATTCTTTTTTTAAATTTTCTGAATGGTATACTAAGCTATAATTTAACATTTTAAAACTAATTTTTACTAATTAATCATGTATTCTGGATTTCTGATCTCAATGACAAATTATAGCTATAATCCCAAGTCTTTCTATGTATAAATATATGTGCATGTACTTGTATATATATGGGGCGGGGAGAGAAACCAAATGGAGCTAATTAACAAGGAGGGCTTCAAATTTCATGCTACCAACCTGGCATTTTCCTTAGAAAGGACACCACGGAAACTTTTCCCTACATAAGCACAAGTATAGTATGACCTAACTTTCAACCTCTCCCTAAGCAAAATGTATCCTCTAGCAATGTTAAAAACCCTCAAAGCTAATAAAAGGACACTTTAAGAATTTTTCTTTTTTAAATTATCAGGGTTAAGTTCTATGATTATTTCCTAGTGTTTCTCCAGATGTTAAGAATAGTGAGTGATATTCAGGGCTATATTATCCCCCTCACACTTAACCTTAGTTTTAAAAACCCCTCTCTCCTTACAGCCCAGTCAGGTAGTGTAGTGTAGTGTCGTAGTATCATTCCCATTTTACAGACAAGTAAAACGAAATAAAGTGAGATCAACAGACCACGCTCTGATTTACGGAAGAGCTAGAGTCGGGATTTCTAGTCCAGTATTCTTTCTACTACAGATTGCTGAACCTTAAATGTTCGAATCACATTTGTTCTGGTGCATTTCCCATATTTTAAAGGGTTGCAGTCCGAAAAATAAATGAGACTATGGACAAAGGATTTTCATCTGTATTTTCTTCTTCCATTTTCCCTCATGCTTAATAATTGGTCTTTAGTCCTCTCCAGTTTTTAACCAATTTTGTGAAAATATGAAAGTTTCATCTCTCCTGAAATATTTTACAGCGGCTTCTTAAAAAGATGTTCCCTACCTGCAAATTAAGAGCCCTAAAAACAACTTAGGAAACCACCTCGGGGAAATAACTGTTAAGGGCAAATATAAACACTGTATTTTTCTTTCCAGCTGCCACAACAAATTAATGAAATGTACTTAAGTTAAAGGAAATATAGTCCCCTTCTCCACTGCCCACGTGGTGCTCTCAAGATGCAGTTAAATGTCTGGGAAAAAATGCACACTATCGTTTCCTATAGAAAACAGAGTACTTCCTAGATCCACTTAGAAAACACTGCACTTTCACAGTTAAAATACTTAAGTACATGTGATATTTCATTTAAACAGAAAAATAATTCAAAACCCTAGCCACGAAAGTTTTGACTGATAAGGAAAATCGAGACCCTTCGATTACAAGTTTGGTTCTCTCCACTCTTTAAGTGAATTAACTCCTCGCTTTGTAAACACCGACTCCACGCCCCCGGGCACGGGCACTCCACCGCTAAGGTCACAAAGCCTACAGAATTAAGCGGGAGCCTCTAATGCTTCGCAATTTCCCTCGTTCCGTGACCCCGGCTGGACCCGGCCGTGCCCCGGATCCGTACAAAGCTTTCCAAGACACAAAGGCCCGAAGAGAAGAGCCCTGGGCCTCGAGGCTCCAGCCAGGCGTGCCCGCCGGCCACGATCCCGGGGCCCCGGCTCCAGCCTCGCCTACCACGGGGATGAGAATCCCAAGCCCGGAACGCCGAGGCTCCCGGAGGCCCGAGCCAGGATCTCGTCTCATCAAGACCCGCCCCCGAAAAGAGGGGGACGGGCGGGGGGAGCGGCGGAGGGCAGGCCAAGCAGGCCCCTGCACGGCCGGGCCCGCACGGCCGGACAGCGGAGGCCTCCACAAAAATAGCCCGGACTCTCAAACATCTGAGACCTGGCTTAGGCCGGATGACGGACGGGCGACAGCTGGGGGGAGGGGAAGAGCTGGGGTTGGGGGGGTTTGTATCGCTCTTGTAATACCCCGGCCTATTAGTAT